CCCATGACCTTTCCCATTTTACATTTTTCTCCTAGGGCTGAAAAACAGTTCCCCACTCTTGCTTTACATTGTATACCATGGGCACACTGATGGAATATACTTTATAATTGCATAATACCATACAATCTACTTAAATGCAGAATAAAACAGGAAAATAGCTCAGAGTTTCAATGTAGTGCTGTCAGGTGATCTGAATAAGCTAATGGGAAAGGCATAACATTTAAAAATTATAACACTAGTCTCTTTCATGGGGAAGGCTGCAAAGGTCACATTGTGGAGTACTCAGTGTTCAGGATTCCAGCTACTCCTTTCCGATCTCCCTCTCTGACATTGGTTTTCTGTCCCCTGATAACAGTCAATCTGCATTCTTTGTCCTCTGACCATGGTCATTCATCACTGGGGTCTGTTTTGGACAAATTCTGTTGGGAGCGTTGCCCCTAACTAGCCTTTATCCCAGGGGTCTCAAACTCGCGGCCCGCGGGCCAATTGCCGGGACGGGCGGGGCACAGGGGAGGGGCCCTGCGGCCTTCAAAGCACTGGCGGCACCCGGGCCAGCCTCTGGATGAGCTCTACTTGCAGCGGCCCCCAGGTAAGTTGAGTTTGAGACCCCTGCTTTATACTATTGGAAACCCCAGCATTTTCCAAATCTGTCTTGTGCATGCAAGGTGCTCACATAAGTAAGCCGTCCTGTGACGTTCTGTAGTGGATGGGATAGAAATACTTTTAATAAATAAATAAGTGTGCATGGGACAGAAGTCAAAGGCTACAAGATTATTTCTTACTTTTCTTGGAGCAAAGCCATTGAACATACTGGGACATACTTCAAAGTAAATATTCTACAATTGAGAAGCATGTATTTAAAATTATTTGGAATGGGAGAGTCATAGCTTTCAAACTTTTGACAATAAGCTTTTTTCTTTTTAAACCTTTAAATTATATCTTCCTGTGTAGTCTATTAAAGAATCCTACAGATTCAAGTCTCCATGGACTGTTGCTTAGAGAACGGGGGAATTTCACAACATAGAGCAATCAGACCCAAGGTTTTGTACTATTTGAGGTTTGCAAATAGTAAAAAAAAACCTTTAGGAAAGAAAGTTTAATGGGGAAAATACCCCTCAACAACAACCAAATAACACAATGGCATGGAACACTGGGAGACAGAGAGAAAAACTTGGCAACTGGGAAGGAGTAAAAAGGAGTGGAACGGTATGGGTACAAAAGGAAGAAGAAACACAGATATTGTTGAAAAAGGCTAAAAACATCTGGCATGTTGACTGGGTTTGCACAACATGAAGGCTGTTAACCACCCCTACATGTGCCCATCACATGTTGGCTGATTTTCCTAATTACCTTTGCTGGGCAAGGGTTGTCATGGGCTTGGTTCACACATCATGACAAGCAGTACCGTGCAGTTTCCACCACACGTGCTTTTTCTGTGGATGAGCCTGAAAAACAATGGTAACTTTCATCCTGTCTGCAATTTTCTTCCCTCTCAGTCCTCTAGGCAGTATTCCAGCAGGTACCACAGGGAGGAATGAGGTTCTTTACTTTGACAGCCATGATTGCGAACTGTGTGGCTCACTGCAGCTGTCAAGCAGTCTCAGCTGCGCAAACAGGGCTTGTGCCCTGAAGCACAGCACAGAAGACAAGGATCTTGTTAGTCTCCCTTCCCTCCTGCTCTAGAGGGGGCTGCTTGAGGGGGAGGGGTTGCCTGATCCATGCTCTGGTAAATGATGGTGGGAATTGGGGAGCGCTGTGGAAAGCAGCAGCAGCACACAACTGATTCCCCCTCGGGCCTTTGCATGTGCCACAGTAATGTTCCTTGCACTCTCTTCATGAGCCAGTGTCAGGAGCACGAAGCAGCTGGTCCATAAAGGAGCAATTGGGCACCGCCACCCAGCTGCTTCTCACCCCTGCCACATGAGGTGCTTTGCTCTGGTGTACGCAAAGCTCAGCAAATTCTAGTCCCTGCTACTGCCTTGTTTGCATGGGAGTGAAGCATTTTGTTTTGGCATGTGCAAAGGGGCACAGGAGCAGTCGTCTGAGGAACACAGCTCCCAAATGGATTCCAGCTGCTTCTCACCAGCTGCCCACCTGAGAGGGGTAGCATGGGGGGATTCACAGTGGCATACAGTCCCCAGTTGGATTCTTACCACTTTTACTCATATAGGAGTGGCAGTGGAGGAATCAAGAAAACAAGCAGTGCTACTCTTCTCCCAGCACCGATTACATTATCTGCTCCTGCTCGAAGAACTTCAGGGCAGGAGGCAGGCATACCTTCGACCGTTGTGCCAAAGGGCAGTTAGCAGTGGTTCTTTCTTGTTAGCTGCTTGGTAAGAGTGGGCAAGGAGCGTGATGGCTCTCGTGTCAGTACCATGCGGAGTTGCATTTTGGATTTGTCAACATGCACTTGTCATACCAAGAAACCCTAGAACAGACTGTTGTTTCTTTTGGTAGTTTCTGAAACCAAATGTACCATGCTGAAATACCACAATAGGGTTCAGATGACATGACTGACCAAAAAAAAAAAAAAAAAACGGTTTTAAAACTCCATTGCAAAACATTAGTGTTTAAATGTTGTATGAACCTGCCCATGTTCAAAATCAATGAAAGGGTGGATGAGGTGGTTAACAAAACACTTAGACTCCACTGATTGTTGTAAGGTTACTGGGTGGTTTATTAAGGACCTCAACCATCTACGCTCAGGTTCAGATGCCATGACAATCTTTTCCTAGTGAGGGTGATTAGGGAAATCAGCTGACCAATATTGGGGTGCTTACAAACTACCATAGCTTATTAACCACCTTTGTTTCATGTGAATTAGGTCAGTGAATGAGGGTTCACTTGGCACAGTAACACACATCATGGGTAACAAGCCATTATGGATTGCCGTGTCATCCAAATCCAGGCGATATCATCATGGATTACAGGAAGCAACAAGCAGGCCACTTGGCAAGAATGTCAACAATCTCGTGCCTCTTTTGACAACCTCAGGTATATGACCACCAGTGACAACTGCTCCAGCTGGTACAGATGTGGACAATTTTGCATGCATGACATTCAGTCTTTCATAAGTACGTGAATGTGCACCTACAATTGCCTGAAATGTAGATCCTTGCCTGGCTAATGTCAAAGGGCAGTAAGCAACATCCATGGACATTGACCAAGTGAGGCTGCATAGGGATTGCTTTGTGTACTCTGGAGAGCTGTCAATTGAAAAAACAGAGCAGTAAAGAATTTTATTCCTCAAAGGTGGTATAGAGTATAATTCTAGAGTACATCCCCTACTATTTTTTTAACTATTGCTGTGACTGCTCACATTCCCACTACATTTCCCTGAACTTCTAGGTACTCTGGAAAAGGAAGATCTATCTCCTACACCACTTCCTTTTAACAGCTGTCAAAAGAGCAAGTATTTATTTCAACCTACATAGCAAATTTGAACTTTTTGGTTTGACAGGGAAATATATAAACATAAAAGTGGTGAATTTTTTCCTGACTCCAAGAAATGGCCCTGTGAAGGGCAAATTCATTCACCATACACAATATAAATGAAATTGCACAAATTTGTGGTATCCCAACAAAAAGGTAATGAACTAGTCATGATTACTTCAGGGGGCTACTTGAACATCAGTGGAGTGGCTGTCACTGGGGCTCCAAGGAAAAACAACAACTGTGAATGTGAAACAGTCACAATTAGAGCAGGCAAGAGAGAGAAGACTGGGAGCAAGGAGGAAGGTGAACCCATGATTTTGTCCAAATGTCTGTGGCTTACTTGCAGGGGTGGGTTGTCCTGCTGTGCAAACTTGTCTGGATAGGTCACTTCTTGGTTTACACCAAACTATTTTTGAAATATCTCTAGAGACAGAAGTGAAAGTTAGATTTCTATATGGAGATGTCAAATATTTTAATATAGCGATGATAGGGCATAGACAGAGCATGTTCATGGGGCAAGGTAACACTTCATTTTCTAGTAAGTTTCTAATTAATATGGATCAGTTAGTTCATTGAGCAGACACTGGAATTACTTTGACAAAGTTTACAATCAGTATTTTTCAGTACCTTTCACATGAGCTGAGTTTCCCCTTTCATAATGTCTAGAGACATGCATATTGTAATAAGACATCAGACTGTGATCTTTTCTAATTGGATAGCTGGTGATATGCAAGTGAAGTTAGGTGTTTTGATTTCCACAGATCTTTACAATACTTTACCTCCAAAAGTTTTCCTGCCATTGGTACATGGGATGCACTTTTCAAACGAGGCTAAGTAGGAAGAATAGTAACTTACTGTTAACTTCCCCATTTAACACAGGAGCACCCTGTCAACTTCCAAAGCTGCAATCCCTCACTTCACTACGATTAAGTACTGTTGAACACGGTGGGACTTACTACTGGATAGATACGTAGGGTTGCACTATACAGCTGCAATCTTATCAACGGGCCAGAAAGCAAGGCACTACATAGTAGGATGGCTGAAGCTACTTCTGAGGGAACGTAGGTGCGATGCAGCTTTATACATATGGCAATAAACACACAGTAAGATAGACTTCTAGGTCAACGCGTTTAGGACTGCAAGATGTTGCAGAAGATACCAGAAGTTTAATGCTTCTGCCGTTCCCTTTTTGAACACTTTGTTACATTCTGAGAGCCCTCTTTGTCATACTGCCGCCACACACCTTGAGGCTTCCCTCCGCGCCCAAGTCTGGCGTTGTCCCGGGGCGCGGGGGAAGGGAGAGAAAATAGAACGCTCCTCCTGTGCCTTATGGCGGCACCTCAATGTTTGGCGGGGCGTCCACTTCTCTTCCCTTTCATTTCCGTCTATTTCCTGCAGGGGTCGCTACTGCCTCACTTTGGCACCGGCCTCTCCCTACCGTTCGGCGGTAGGATCTATCGCAGAAGAGCAGTAAGCGGAGACTAGTTGGCGCCATTTTGAAGCCAACCAGAAAGGGGGGGACAGCGGCGAGCTGCGGAAGGGGAGGGAGGGGGTTGGCGGCGATTGGCTGCGGCGGGGAAGGACGGCGGCTACCCTAGCCTAGCCCGGCGGGCCAGAGAGGAGCGGACGGGCTCGCTGCGCGTTGTCGGATACGCTTACGGGAGGACAGCGGCGGCCGGCCGGCCAGGGGAAGGTAGGAGAAAAAAGCCTCCTCTCTTTCTGGGAGGAGTGGGCAAGGAGCGCGTTTCGCGCCTCCTCTTCCTCCTCGGTTGTTCGGGCAGGCGGGCAACGGAGAGGATCCCGACCCCGGGAACTTCCCCACCTCCTTATTTTCCCCCCTCCGCCGCCATCCTTCCCTTTGCCTCAGCCGTTCCCCGCATGTTGAACTTGCCGCCCTTTCCTCAGCGGTGTGGCTGCGCGTATTTGTTTATGTGTGGGGTGGTGGAAGAGGGTGGTGGGGGTGACCTTGTCGGAGGCGCCTTTTCCTATATATCTATATTATCTCTGCCGTGAATTGCAGCCCTCCCTCGCTGCTTGGGTCCCCTTTCAATCCTCTCCTGAAGCGAGGCAGGAGGAGGAGCAGCGGCTCGCAAAGCTTTCCCTCAAATGAAGCGCTACTGTGAACGGGCTTCCTCCTTTCCAGTTGCCTGCCCTGCCCGCCCCTGGAGCCGCTTTTTCTTCCATGACTTAAATGGTTCAGAAAACCGCTGCAGCCGTTTTGCCTTTCTTAGTTAGGCTAGTCCCCGCCGCCGAAGCCCCTCGACAGAGGCATCCTGACCCAGCTCAGCCTCTTCCTGCTGCCTTGGGCTGGGGCCTAATAGGGATGGTTGCGGGGGAAGGGACTCCTGGCTCGGTTCACCCCCTCCCTCTTGTTTTATACTCTCTCAACTTGCCAGGCGTTGGAGGCGGATCTCTCCACTTGCAGAGGAAGTGTGTGTGTGTGTGCGTGTGCGTGTGCGTGCGCGCGCGCGCGCGTGTAAGCCGAGTGCCTCCAACATAACAGACCCACATCTTTTGGTTTTAGTGTGGCCGCTGGTCTTTTCTTAAATATTGCAACAAGGCCTCACATAGGGACTTTTTCTTTTTTGAAGAGCAAGCTGCATTTATTGTGAGATGTTGCTTTCAAATGGGCTTTATTTTGAAAGAGAGTTTCTGTGAACCAAGAAAGCCAGGTCTGGAATTTCATCCTGTATGTATGTAAGATACTAATTTCTCCCACCCCCTTATATTTATTGGGGGAGAAAAGCAAATCGAGGATTTGCAAAGCCTCAAAGAAAGAAAGAAGGAAAAGATCATTAATATTATTCCTGCTGTTGTGTCTACTGTTAGAACTAGTATAATTCACAGTTGTGAAGGATTTGGACTTTATAATGGTTTCCAACAGGGAACCGTAACTGTGGTGTGAAGTGTTCAGTAACTTGGCTTTGATAAACATTTATGAAAGACAAGTCTTTTCTTTTTCTGTTTAATTCTGTGAAATTTGTGAAAAAATGGTGTGTTTACTGTTATATTATGTCGGATAATGTTAGCTCTTGTAGATGACTGTAGACAGGGTACACCTAATGTGAGGGGTGGGATTGTGGGTTGGGTCCTATCTCTTCCCTCCATGTGTAGCTTGTGCCTTGTGCAGAGTTTATGTGTTTGCAAGCTTTACATGCAAAAGCTCTGTATGTATGATCTTGGACCTGCATTTTGTATGTATGTAGGCTTTGTGTTGAAGGCACAGTCTACACATGGAGATCAGGGGTGGAGCTTACTGCAGCAATCACTCCTCTCCATGTGTTCAATGTGTGTATAATTCCTCTGAATGGGGCCAAGCTAGGGCACAGTCTTATGCATGTTTAGTCAGAAAAAAGTCCTACATCTCCCAACATTCCTCTGGCTGGTTGGGGACTGCTGGGAGCTCTAGGTCTTTTATTTCCTGTCCTAACATGCATAGGATTGCACCCTTAAGTGTTGTTCAGAGACGGTTCCCAATCTGTGACTTCAGGGAAGATCTCAATATCTGAGTATCTAAGCATCTTAGTATTTAATTGATGATAAAATCTTAGAAGTACAATCATCTTATTTTGGAACATTTCCAAAGTGTTTTGAGTTTTTAAAATTGTGTAGAAACCTGTATATATTGGGTTTGTAAATAGCTATTTCTCTGGTGATCCATTGTGACTAGTAATTGTCTTCTGTGATCAGATGGATTCCTACTCACTGATTGTGTTTCTTCCTCCTCACTCCCTGGCTGGGACTTGGGTATATGTGGACAAATATCTATGTGTTTATTGATCAGGGAAAATATATCAGGATACATATTTTCTTTTTTTGTCCTATATTCAGTCTCAGAGCTGTCACAATGGAAGATGTGAGGTGGAACTTTTTCCCCATGTAAGTGACACAGTATGCGAAAGCCTTTCTGGTCATGATGCCCTGTTTATGGGATGCCTTCCCTAGGAGGGTCTCTCTGGCCTCCACTATAATTCTGTTGCCAGGTGAAACGCACATTATTCTCCTAGTGCATTAGTTCTTGATGGAACTAATTATATGCTGCTTTTATCTACAATTTTACTGGAAATTTTCACATTTTATTGATTATATTTGTTTTTATTGATTTGTAAGTCTGTCCTAGATTCTTTTTGAAAGGTAGGATGAAAGCCCCTTATACAAATAAAGGTCTTTAACTTAAATTAGGGAGACAGCAAAGTAGTTTCTCCTCTTCCCTTATTCCTGAATTGCAGAGTATGAGAGGAAGGTAGTATTGTAATGGGGAGTGATCATCTCTGGATTTATTATTAATAAAGTTTATATGCTAGTAAGTTAGAATGAAAACCATATCTCCAAAAATAAATTTAATATGCTTAAATAGCACTATGGAAAGTTAAGCAAATGATATGGAATCAAAACGCTGAGTTCCCTTTCAAAGGATACCTTTTCCTGTCAGTGTCAAGTAATGGAATCATTCATGTATTTTTATGCTTTCAAATGAGGAATATATACCTTTTTAAAGTCAGTGATGATTATTAAAACTTAATGTAAAATAAAACTGTGAACATTTTAACAGTTGTACCAGTATCTGAATATTCTAAAATTTACCAGTGTGAAATGGATGCATGGAGAAAATGAATATTTTTACCCTAAACTGAGAGATGTGTTCTGCTAAATTTAACATAAAATAAGATGGGATTCCATTAAGTCACACAGCACCCTGTTTCTTGTTTGTTTGTTAACTCTGTGGTATTTCGCCCCTGATCAGGACAGGATTTCTGGGTTCCTGGGTTGCTAATTGTGAAATCAGAAATAGCAAATGGACAGGAAACAGTGTACTTGCTCACTCCTGCACACCTTGCCAATTTCTAGGTTTTGCTAATCTTGGTAATTGGCTGTAATGTGCAAACAGGGTCAATAGGATGATGCTCTTGTTTTTCTAAAACTCTTAAGGATATGCCCAAAAGTATTTTCTTAAATGCTTCTCTTAACTCTATTCTTATTTTGTTATCTAGAGTATTGAATTATCTTGCATTGTTCTCAATGTTTTTATTGTGCTTTCTGTAGGCTGATGCTTGCTTGTAGAATTTTGTTTTGTCTTCTGTTGGCATTTCTTATATTCTTCTAGTACAACCTTGTGCTTCATTGTAAAAAAGAGAGTATAATATAGTTCAAACATACAGCACCATCTAAATATACAAGATATAGAACTTATAAGTTGAACTGTTGATAAATGTATTGGAATTAGACACTTTTAAGAATATTTCACCATTTATTCCATTGGAAAAAAATATCTCCCTGATTCCTGTTTGAAGTGGTCAAATGCATGTTCTTTTCATGTGTGCTGGGACTTCACTATTTTTCTGATAATGAAAAATGAGTTCTTTGAATGACACTTAGCTCCATATCCCCCAAGTCGAAACGAGGATCTATGCAGTGACATTAGCCAGAGATAGATTTGTGATGGGTAACTTGATTATATGACATGACCTTGCTGACTGCTGTGAAGGTTGTGGGTATCATGATATGGCTAGATGGGCTGTTAGAGAGGTCTGAGGAAGAACCAGTGATCATGATAGTGTAGATTCTGCACTATTCATACACAAACTTTGTTGGGTCATCTGGGATGCCAAATATAAGAGGCTAATGTCCAGGACCTCAAAGGAAGGATTTTTTGGTGAAGCGATCAATTTCTTTTTGTTTTTTAAAACTGAAATATTTGACTTTTTTTCCTTTTATTTGTGTCATGTATCCTTGGTCCTGGTGGTGGGGAGCACTGCAGTGTAATAATTAATTTTATTGTATGTCATATTCTTACATTATATTTTGAATGTCATATTATTTTGTTTGTATTTTAATAAGAATAAAATTTAAAAAGAAGCTATCAACTTTCTGTAGAGGAGATATATCTATTCCAGCTGTTAAAACAGACACAGTTGCAAATTCTCTATGTATGAGATGGTGCTCTCAGAAGGAAAGATTTAGATTTGTTAGGGATGGGAAGTTTGTGTGTGTGTGGGGGGGGTGGGTGAAGAACCATATAAAACAGATTAACTAGCTTGCTGGTGCTTATGTTTTTTTTAAAACACTATAAAACAACTTTTTAATCTGACTTGGGGGAAGGTGATCAGAGTTGAGAAATGTCCAGCTTCAGAGGAAAACCAGTGCTTCACTGTTTGTACACTAACAGATCATAAGTTCAGTGGGAACTAGTGGCTACTGAAAAAATCAGAAATGAGGGCAGTGCTGGTTTCCACAAGGCAGGGCAGTGAAGCTCATACTGACCCCTTCTAGGAATGAGCATTTCTACTCATTTCCAGAATTGTTTCAGAAACTGCCAGCTCTGCTGTGCTAGTTGTCCTTTTTGTTGGTACAAAAGGACTAGCAGAGGCACAGCAAAAATATAGGATATTTCCCTTTATTTTCTCAGCATGAATGGATAGAAGTTTGATTCAGTTCCTGGAAACTGTGGCGCATTTGAAAGACTAAAGAGAATACTGATGCTGCAACCACATACCCATCTACTCAGAAAGAAGTTCCTTTGAATACACTGGGACCTTCACCTTGCTAAATTTGTATAGGATTGTAGGCTAAAGGTAATATTAGGGAAAACACTTTGAAATAGAATAGTAGTATACTCTGACACTTTATGAGTGAATTATAGCAATTGAAATAGAAATTAAAGACATGGTGAGACTATCCTGAATGGTTAGAAGG